ATCCAAGATATAATATTAATTCTATGCTACTTAGCACATATCTAGAGTATGACAAAGGGAACAGAAAGAACAAGGAATAGGAACGTTTTTCTATACAAGCACCTACATTATCAAATGGGCAATTAATTGCAGAATTCCCATACTTGTTTGACAGCACATGAGAACAATAAATAAAACATTACCGCTGAGCCTTAGGTGTTGCAAAGTCAAGGATATTGTAATTGTCTGCAGTAGTTTCACAGATGCTAGCAAATATTCCATTACCGCTTCTGTATCATATACTAATATACTAATCTGCTAAAACTAAAACTAACAATCAGATCATTAAACCCTTTCTAAAGTATGGTTATTTTTACACTATCTTTATTCTTAAACCACTTCCAGCCATTTTGATGGTACCCAGAACCTGTGTAAGAATAATGCACTGCCAAGACGTCAGCAGCTAACAGTGAATGCAACATCTTCAAATTGTATATAAATCCCTGATTTCCAAGCAGCTGATTATTGTCAGAAGATCAACAAAAGCCTTTGAACTATTTACCAAGAAACAACAGGATGTGTAGGGCTAGATCCAATATTATTCCCAGTAAAGGTAAGCCACTGAAATAGATGGCACATGTTAGTCACAAGTAATGTAAGTTTCACTGATTTCAGAGGGTCTAGTTGGGACTCACATCAGATACAGCCCATACCTGGCAACCCAGGACATTTTACACAGGAGTTATAAGACACAGCAAATGTTTTCCTTTTGATCAGCAAAAAATGAGTGAAGAAGTTGAACTGGAATAGGAGACAGGAAGCGCTCTTGAAGGAGGTAAAGGCATTAGCATGCTAGAAGACTTTTGGACAGAGTAAATGTTTAAAACACATGGTCTTCCTTCTTTAACTAGGAAGCAAACCTCAACACAGCAACAGCTACTAAGGAAGACTCAGGATACAGAGTAACCACAAATTTGACTAGCCCTTCCTGCTTCAAAACGCACACCATAACGTACACCTCAACTGTTTCAGCACAGAGCAGACTGCCTAAAACATTCAAAAGGGGGAACACAAGAGGCAGCAGAAATGTCTCCCCTATACCCCAAATTTCCATTCAAAAGGGGGAACACAAGAGGCAGCAGCAGAAATGTCTCCCCTATACCCCGATTTTCTCCCCTCTGTCAATCAAGCTTTGTTGTCCTCACTTGGAAACATGGGGAATGACAAGCAGCTGGGCCTAACAGCTTGATTTTCTCTACCCGTTGACAATTCACATGCTTTAGATCCAATCCCTACCATGTACGTGTATGCAGAACTGCACCTTTAAAAGACAGCCACTACTTCCAGAACTATGCCATGCATATTTATGTTAAGTAACCCTGCAATATTCGGAATCAAAACTAACAACATGTCATTGTACACATTGCTTTTTCTAAAGAAAAATGCTAAAATTAAGACTTTGTTGGCAATGCTGGAATGTTATTTTAACAAATCCCAAGTATAAATAACAGCCCTCAGTACACTACAGGTATGTGAATATTTTTATTTAGATAACCAATAATGTAATTCTATTATAGTATTTTTCTCAATTACTAAGGCATTTAGATGGTGATTAAGTATTCAATCACGGAAATATTTCAAAGTACATACAGCTATAATAGAAAGCTCCATCGTAATTACAGTGCTTAGGAACAGCACTCTATGGACACACAAACAGAGAAGTATAAAATAGTAAGGTGACAATTCTTCACACCGTTAGGCTGCTGAAATCCCACAGACTTCAATCCTATATTTGCTTACTTTGGAGTTAAGTACTACAAACTCTTTAGGACTTACTTCAAGAAAATACGTAAACGATTGCATGGTGTTTAATGTTCTGCCAGGTAGGAAATCTTAAAACTTTCACTCTATTCCTTCATACACTTACAACATAAAAACTACAACTATCTCTAACTACAAAGGGGTCCCACTAACAAAAATGAGCCATAAAAAATTAGTATTACAGTATGGTGAGAAACAACCACCTGAAATGCAACCAGAGACAAGTCAGACCAGTTTCTGTCATAGCAGAGATTAGATCTTTTGTTAACACAGCATGTAAATTGGCATTTAAGAGATACATACCACCTAACTTTCATCTGCCAATTGCAGAAATCAAGTGCAAAGGCTGAACTTTGTGTACATTACCACAGTGTCCAATTCTAGTAAGCCCCCCTTTTTTTGGTATTAAGGACAGGACTGACCATTTTTTAAAATAGAAATTCTTGCTGAGGTTGTCTCATGAAATTGCTGAGTATCTTTTCTTTCTTTAACTGTCTCGACATTGTTGGAACTGTCACTAATTGATGCTCCCAGCATGTTTGTTTAATGAAACCTCTGGTGGTGGCTAGAACAGGGGAAAGTGTCAGAGCTAGACTGTTACAATAAAGCCACTGGATACAGAAGAGATGCTATCCTGACAAAAGCTGTAACAACAGATTGGAAGTGAATACAGAAGATCCTGGCACCAAGTGATGGTTTTTTTTTAACATCCTGGCAAAGATAACATAAAATCTGTAAGTTGAGTACACCAGCTAGCAGATGTCACAATACTTGCCATTTATCAGGTTCTATTCACCTGAAAAATCCGCAGTCTAAACAACGTATAAGTGTTTTTCTATTATAAATGAGCCCTTGAGAGGGCAAGAGCTTTACCAGTTTGTCCTTGGCCTCAAAACAGTAATCATACAGGTTCTCAGACCCTCTACATATAAGTGAAGTTATAGAAATAAAAATCATAGGAGCTAGAAGACAGAAGAGCTGAAGGGAGAATTTTAAGCTACACTGAAAGCCTAAAGCAATAGCATACAGCTTCTAAATACTCTAGACAAGGGAGTTGTCAGCCTTTGACCTAATACATGGGTCAGATGTCAACACCCAGAAGGCCCAGCCAGCATAGGCAAATGGCAAGAGATTGTGGGATAGTAAACCAATATATCTGGAGGGCCATAGGTTCCACACATGTAGGACAGCTTCCTCTCTGCTTAAGACAGACAGAATAAAAATGCATTTTAGGGACACAAAAAATGTTGGAGGGACTGGTAACAGCAAATCACAGCATACGACTCTAGAAAGGGCCACTGATAAAGCTGTTTGTTTTAAGCTTTGTAGAGGATTTATTTTGTCCAGTTCCCAAATCAAGCAGTTGACAGAATCATCGCACCTCTTATTTTTAAAACGGAATGCTAGTCTCACTATGTTGAACTGATACATGCAATATGGCTGGAATTTGCAGATCATAATAGCTAATTAAAGAAGACACCTTGAGAACAAAGACAGACTCTCTTGAGAACTGGACTACAAATAAAAGTTATAAAATAGGGCAGGATGGTGAGTAACTCTTTGGCGAATTCAAAGGCTTTTAACTTTAGGATGCTCAGTATGAAAACACCGTAATTTTTTATAGCAATATGTTAATTAAGAGTAAAGCAATAAAACAAAGCGATAAAGTAATAAAACACAAGCAGTATTTTGTTTTTGAAGTAAATTATTGGCAGTTCGGAGTGCCAAGAGATGAAATGGTTCAGTGCCTTGTTGTGGGGCTGTATGTGTGCATCCCAAAAACTCCTGTTAGAGTAGCCGCTGGAGGTATTCATGTGTGGGATTACCAAGCAAGGAAATCAAGATGAACTAAATGACAAGTAGTATACAGGATAAATTAGGGTGGCCTGGAGGCATCCAGAAAGTTTGGTCTCTCTTTTTTTGGGGGGGGGATATGACCAGAATCTAACAGACAAACCAATGTGGACAGAAGCTGCCTCCGAGGGCAATCCATCTGGGTCAAAGTCCACCCAAAGTCCATGAGACTGTTATCCCTGAGGAGAGAAGGGTTGGAAAGGGGACAATGTTCCTATCCGGCCATAATAGCGATGGGGTCATCAGATCACTTGGGAGTGTCACTAAATTCTCCATACTGTCACAGGGCAGGCCAAGGCCTCCTTCTGCTAAATTTGCCCTTACGACCCTCAGTATACCCAACCATGCCTGTGCTGGGTAAGAGATGATGGGAACTGTAGTTGAAAGCATGCAGAGGGTGCCAAATTAGGGGGGACGGGTAGAAGATGTCACTAAGTTAGGTGTCCTTGAGCCGCAATATCCTGCAATGGGGAAGAGAGGAAGAAAATGGAAGAGTCAAATGGGGAGAGGGGGCTGATATTTGGGGTGTATTTAATTTGATTTCATTTTCTCCCCCCCCCTTTTTTTTTTCAAAAGTCCCATGGGAATCCCTGTCCTAAGAGGCCAGGGAAGCCAGATTCATATTCCTCTCTTCTTTCTAGACAAGGACCTAAAAGAAGGTAAGTGTGGGGCGGGGGGGCAGGTTAGTTCTGACCTATTTGTCCTAGA